AGTGTATTTTTTCTACTTGTAAGTTTTATTATATTTTCTGAATTCTGAATAGGATTTTGAAGGCTTTAAAGTCCTATTTTAAAATCATACATGAAATTATATATTTCTATGTAAAATTAATTTTATTGAGTGAAATCAAATATTTATAGAAACCCAAGGTGTAAAATTTGATAACTTGTATTTATACTTTAGTTTCCTAGTTATATGTCTCCTCCTACACTTAAAGTTATCAGTTATCTTCACTTTTGTATCTTGCATAGGTGCTAAATCTACTATAAAAGCTAAGATATAAGACAGGTGTACATTTTAGAGTGAGGAATAGTGCAGGTTGTTAATGTCACAGTTTTTATTTATGCAAATTGAAAAAAATAACCTGAGTACAAATTTAGCAGGTGATGAAAGAATAAAAAGGCAGAAATCTGATTTTTTGTTTCAGAATTGAATTGATTTCATTAGGGAATAAAAAATCTTGGATTTTTAATTTTCAATCTTTATACTAAATTTTTCTTTTTAAATTAGAAAAAATAATTACAGTTTGCATTCAATATTATTCTGTATTAGTTGCAGATGTACAGCATCGTGGTTAAAAATCAGGTACTTTACAGAGTGGTCCCCCGATATTTCAGGCACTCACGTCACCCCTTACACAGCCATCATGATATTCTTGACTATATTCCCATGCTGAACTTACATCTCCATGACCATTCTGTACCGATTGGTACTGCTTAATCCCTTCACCTTTTCCACCTAGCTCTCAGCCCCTCTCCCCTCTGACAACGCCAATCTATTCTCTGTATCTTTGAGTCTGTCTCTATTTTGTTTGTTTATTTTCTTCTTTATATTACACATATAAGTGAAATCATATGGTATTTGTCTTTCTCTGACTCATCTCACATAGCACAATACCCTCTAGGTCTATCTAAGCTGTCAAAAAAGGTAAGATTTCATTCCTGTTTATGGCTGAGTAGTATTCCGTAGTATTCCATTGTGTATATGTACCATAGCTTTTTTTTTTTTTAGTTGAAGGAGAACGCGTTTTATAGAAATGTAATTATGAATGAAAATTCAAAGGGTGCATATAGTTCTGTGTGTAGGGTGTGATTAAAAAAGTCATTTTGGCCATAATGTATTGGGTTTGGCATTCAGTTTTCAGCAGAAGATATTCTGGAGACAGCAGGCTATATTTTCTTGAGATGTAGGGTCCCAAATATAAAAAGATCTGAAAGGTCTCCACATTTAGAACTCAACTTTAAGAATATGATTTGTTGTACTTTGATTTTTTCTTTTAAAATGAGAAAAACACTCTGTAATTTTATATACAAAAATCATATATCAAATCATCACCTACATTGAACATAAAATGATGTGTAGTCAATAATAAATAGTGCTGCAGGTCTTTCACAATACACTTTGATTTTCAAAATTTTGTCTTGCTTTATTTTAATGTTTCTAATTAGAGGTGAATAGTGTTTGAGGGAATTTGTGGCTATTGTGTTTGAGGTTTTATAATTAAAAGATTTATTATGTTTTTTAATATGTTAGAGAAAGCAGATTTAAGAGACATTGGGAAGAAGAGGAGTAAAGATGGAGAAAGGGAAAAGGAAAAATTTAAATGGTCGTTTCATGGTTCCAGACCCTCATCAGAAGTCCAGAACTCTCTGCTGTCTCTGTCGGACTGTAAGCGCTCAGTCTCCTAGACTATGGACTACTTTAGCTGTTTCCTGAAATGTTGAACCTCTGTGGAGCATAGAAACATATCTCCTGTATAGACATCCTATATACTAAAAGGCTAATAGGCAAATCAACCAAACAGCAAAATGACTGGTTGCTATGACGCACACTGACCACCAGGGGGCAGACGCTCAACACAGGAGCTGCCTCCTGTTGGTCAGTGTGCTCCTACAGGCCAGAAGCCAGGCTTATGGCTGGCGAGTGCAGCAGCGGTGGCGGGAGCCTCTCCTGCCTCCACAGCAGCGCTAAGGATTTCCAACTATTGGCTAAGGCGCAGTCAGACATCCCCCAAAGACTCCTGGACTGCGAGAGGCACAGGCTGGGCTGAGGGACCCTCCAAGTGCACGAATTTCGTGCACCTGGCCTCTAGTATCTAAATAAGCGTGTGTAAAGTTGCCTGTAAGGTCCCACATATGAGACAATAGTGAAGGCTGTCCAAGTTCTCATGGCACAACAGTCACAGGAGAAAGAAGACATATACTAACATATATATTAGCAGATTATAAAATTTATATTACTCTACATAAGTAAAATATGTTATATATTCTATATAAGGTACATATATTAATATACAATTATACAAAGTATATAAATATTAGCATATGTATTATATATTAGTATATGTCTTCTGTATAAATTATATGTAGCATACATAACATTTTAAGATTATATAACATATACCCATTATCTTTGTTGTTTTTTTAAAAAATGTTTTTATTTACTTTAGAGAAGGAGGGAGAGGGAGAGAGTGAGAAATAGCAAGCAGCTGCCTCCTGCACACCACTTGTTGGGGACCAGCTCTCAACCCAGGCATGTGCCCTGAGTGGAATTGACCCAGTGACCTCTCCATGTATGGGAAGATGCTCAACTGAGACACACTAGCCAGGGCATATTATACACACTGTCTTTTTTTAAGACTTTATATTTCTACTATTGGGTCATCTATCTTGGTGCTTCCAGAATGTGGGTTCTAATTTTCAGCTTTCCGTTCATTCCATGGTTGGAAACACATCCCTTTTCTTCCAGCACTATGCTTTATCTAGTTTTTCTTTTCATTTTGTCTTCTTCCTTAACACATTATTATGGTTTTGTGAGGACATTTTAATAATTATGACTTTTTATAATTACAGAAACATGTCTGGTGGTTTGTTAGAGAAAAGAGTCACTAGTCATATTTTAAATTCTGTATTAAAAATTGTTTTCTTCTTTTGATGCCTTAAGCAATCTTTTTGATAGTAGATGGCATGACATTCCCAAAGTTACCGATAATTCATCATCACTGTGAAAATGACTAAACCTTTCTCTAAGTTTCTTTCTTTGGAAAAATAAAGTTAACAATGCCTTTTTCCCCCTACCAAATTAAGAGATAAGGTTAATCTCAAGATACAGAATATGGTTTAGAATTTGGGCTGTGGATAAAACTGCTTGGGTTCAGATCCCTGCTCCATGAAAATCATACAAAGTTCAATTTTTTCATGTAAAAATTTTTATAACTTTATTATATTTTACAATTAATCCATTTAAGGAAGATTCTGGTTCATGTCTAATTTACATTTTGTGTCTCTAAAGATACTATTCTCAATTAACACATCTAGCACAGTTAAATGTAAATCCTCAAATTAGTAAAGAAATAACACAAAACTTTTAATTAAAAATAAAAATAATAAAGGAAAATAAATTCTATTATTTTGGTCAGAATCTTTAAAAAACAAAAGGACACCCAATCAAATATAGCACCCAATCAAATATAGAAATATCAGGGATGTTAAGGAACATGTTAATAAATAAGTGATGTTCAGAAGCAGAGTCTAAAAGCATTAAACATTTCAAACTAAGTTACTTATGTTTTCCTTCTTCCTGGACGGATTCATTTATTTATAATTTTTTATTCCTTTTCTTTAGTTTTTATTGATTTCAGAGAGGAAGGGAAAGGGAGGGAGAGAGAGAGAGAGAAGCATGAATGATGAAGAGAGTCATTGATCAGCTGCCTCCTGCATGCCCACTACTGGGGATTGAGCCCACAAACTGGGCATGAGCCCTGACCGGCAATTGAATCGTGGCCTGCTGGTTCATGTGTCGATGCTCAACCACTGGGCCATGAAATGACATGAAAACTCCTGTACTTCTTTAAATTCAAAATAAAGATTTTTTAGCTATAAAAGCTAAGAAATGTAACAATGTTAAAATTATTCATTTGAACATAATTATTTGTAGACCATCCTAAGTTAGATTGACTGATGACTAGTAAGTCTATGTCAGTGATGGTGAACCTTTTGAGGTTCGGTGTGTCAGCATTTGAAAAACCCTAACTTAACTCTGGTGCCATGTCACATATAGAAATTTTTTGATATTTGCAACCATAGTAAAACAAAGATTTATATTTTTTATATTTATTTTATATATTTAAATGACATTTAGCAAAAGAAAAATCAACCAAAAAAATGAGTTCGCGTGTCACCTCTGACACGTGTGTCATAGGTTCGCCATCACTGGTCTATGTGATAACATTTTTACAGTGAGATAAAATGATTTTTAAGCAACTAAATGGTACTATATGATGAAGGTAAAATTAATGAGATATTCTATAAGATGAATGCACATATTTATTTTAAAAAATTTAGAATCACTTATCTATTTTTCACCAGCAAAGATAAGGAATTATCTTTAATTCTAATTTTTTAACCTTTAATTCTATTTTAATGTTCATTAAGGAATTTTGGAATGAACTACTGACAGACCCATTAGGACACCATATATGCTTGCTTTTGCAGGTTCTTCAGGAATGCAGTCCCCTCACATGGTTGTATATGCTACCTTTATTCCTCTCTATTTGTTTGAAAAGAGGATCTTTTCACTAGAGACAATGGTGAGTACTCACATCCGGGAGGCACAGTATCATTTATGGTTTGTGTGTGTGATTACTTCTTGTGATAGAAGGCATATCTGGGTTTAAATAGAAACCACTCCTTCCTGTACAAGTCTGCCATACAACAAGGGCAATATCATCAAGCTAATAGGACATAATGTGCCATTATGAATATATAGTACCAGTTTCTCTGTTTTAATTCAAAGTTGATTCACTTTAGCATGGGTACATCTAAGTGTGCTTCCCAGCCCTCCCTCCAACTTGAGCCTCTTGTGAAGATCTTAATAGGCCATCTCAGCCCTAGTTTGTTGTTTGTTCGGTTGGTTGGTTTTAATTTCTTTTTTTATGGCACTGACTAAGGTGCTATCTTAGATATTTCCGAGAGATTAAATGCTCCAACAACAAGGGCTACAAAACAGTATGAGCCATGCTTTTGGAGTCCATGGTCTCAAGTAGAGGAACCACTTAAACACTTTTAAAGCTGAAAAATGTAAGGATGGATGAAGGCATTACCAAAAGAAAAGGGCTCAAAAGAATCCCTGTGAACTTCTTTCTGGCCATCCTCCTTAAAAACTAACATTTAAGCACAAAGTTAAGTTTTGAACTTAAAACATGAAAAAAAGTGACATTTATTCATTAATTCAACAGATATTTATTGTTACTCTAATGAGCTAGGCTCTGAGCATGATGAACAAGATTAACAAAGTGCCTCCCACCTCTCTGCCCCCAGAAAGTTTAATCTAATGAGGAAGGCAGACAAGCACACTACAGCAATGAAGTTAGAAAACTGGTCTGAGAGCCCACGAGGTGCCTGGACTATGGTAGTGATGGTGTTCAAATAATGAGTTGGATGAGTGACCGAACGGATGGGAAACTGAATATGGCACACAGAGCAGAAACACATCTTCCTGTCTAATGGTTGGCTACAGAAGTCTTCCCAAAGAAGAACTGCTTAAGCTGTGGCCTTAAGAAGTTTGCCTAATAAATAGGAAAACCGCTCAAAGCAGAGGAAAGCCTGAGGGTGAAGGAGAACCCACTGGGTTCAGGGAACTGACTACAGGTTGAATAGATGGCAAGGAAACATCTTAGAGGCAACTTGAGAAGTGAAAGGGAGTCAGGGCAGAAAGAGAATTAGTATTCCTCCTGACAATAGCTTCAGGGACTCGAGGCTTAGGAATTAGCCCAGTGTCTGTAGCAGTAATTAAATGAACTTCAAGGCTGTAATGAACTGTCTGTACTGTCACAGTTTTCCTAACCTGACTGCTAATTATTTTATATTACCCACTAGGATGGTCTAGTTCTCCTGGTAAAAATCAAAATTCAATGGAGGTTTAATGTCTTAAAGATAAATCTACTGGAAAAAAATATCTGTTCTAATGGAATTTTGTTCAATGGAGTATATTGATAAAATTTATAGCCCCAAAGATAATGAGCCCAACATATAAAATAAAGACAATACCTTATATTTTTTTGGTCCAGAATACAGAAAAGACAGCAAAACTTGGGAAGGAAAAATGTGCCATGAGCATTCCACATTTCCCCCATCTTCTTGCTCTTGGGTATTCTAAATGCATTTAGTTTTATTTAAATGGGTCCTTAAAAGGCCTCTCCCATCTGCTCAAACCCTACTTTTGGAATATTTGAGGTGGGCTGGGAAAAGGGAGTGAAAGGGTCTTATGGGCAAGGAAACTTCATTAATTATTTTTAAATATTTTTAAGTGCCTAGTTAGCATTTCATTAGACCAGTGGTTCTCAACCTTTCTAATGCCGCGACCCTTTAATACAGTTCCTTGTGTTGTGGTGACCCCCAATTTTATTGTTACAAATTGAACATAATTAAAGCATAGTGATTAATCACAAAAACGATACGTAATTATATATGTGTTTTCCGATGGGTCTTAGGCGACCCCTGTGAAAGGGTTGTTTGACCCCCAAAGGGCTCGCAACCCACAGGTTGAGACTGCTGCATTAGACTGTTTCACTATTCTAAATTCCTCTCTGTCCCTAATTCTAATCAAAGGAAACTTGAGATCCTTTAACAAAGCTTCTCAACATCAAACTATAACTACTAATAGCATTACCTTACATCATTCAGCAATATTGTGTGTTAGGAATAAAATGAAGCATGAGAAATTGGCTTACATACCTTAAATCCGGCTAGAGAGTACTTTTGCAGATTATTCAAACAATGCAATATGTACTAATATCAAACTTAATTATTTCACACAATAACTTACACTTCCAAAATATTTTAAATTGTTTTGTTTTGTAATGTTTGACAGCTCAAAAACAGAAAGTAAATAGACTACGATTTTGGTTGAAATTGTTAGAAGGGATTGAGATTTGCACTAAATCTTATGAATAGTAAACTGTCTTAGAAATATGCAGTTTATAATTCAACACCCATTTTTGATAAAAACTCTCAGTAAGGCGGGAGTAGAAGGATCATACCTCAACATAATAAAAGCCATATATGACAGGCTCACAGCCAGCATCATACTCAATGGACAAAAACTAACACCATTTCCCCTAAGAACAGGAACAAGACAGGGGTGCCCCCTCTCACCACTCCTGTTCAACATAGTACTGGAAGTGTTAGCCATAGCAATTAGGCAAGAAGAAGAAATAAAAGGCATCCAAATTGGAAAAGAGGAAGTAAAACTGTCCTTATTTGCTGACGACATGATATTATACATACAAAACCCTAGAGACTCCATCAAAAAGCTACTAGACTTA